AGACAGAGTTTCACTTTGGGAAGAAGAAAAAAGTTCTGGAGATGGATGATGGTGATGGCTGCACAACAATGTGGGTTTACTTACTGCCACTGAATTGTACACTTAAAATGGTTGAAAGACTAAATTTTGTTATGCATATTTTACCACAAAAATCTTTGCAGAAGTTATAGGTCTTTACTAAACAAAGGAATGAATTACAGATTTTTTTCAAAAAGTTAAGTATTACACATTATAAACTCAAAAGCAAATTGAAAGAAGAATCCTTTGTTAATTAGGAAGTGGCATATTTGTAGCAGAAGTAATAGGCACGGACACCTTGGTGATTTAATATTTAATATACAAGTTACTAATATACCATAGAATGCAGTAATATTTACATTTGATTTTCTTAAAAAGGAATTTTCATTTTAACTCAATTGGAATAACTCAAACTGCCATTCAACATAAGAAAATTAACAGTACTTTACCATATGTAACTGACATTCTTTCCTGTAACTATGTTTACTGTATCGTCTTGTACGTTTTGGGATTTTCAGGTCTCAGCTGAAGAGGTAATTCTGCTTGCCGGGTGTAGGATGCATCAGATCTTACCTTAAAAAAAAAGCATCAATAATCAAAATGTGGATAAATTACTTATAGACTGAGTGTATATTTTTCTTGGAATAAGTGCCACAATGAGTAAGAGAATAAACACTCTTGGTGTTGAAAAACTTAATACAAAGTCACAGAATACCCATCTGTATGGATATTTTTAATAACACTATTTAAAGGGATCTTCTCAGTTCCCCTGGTTTATTGAACCTCTAGATCTCCCCTGCTTCTGATGCGATGATAAAGCGTTTATTCTGTACTCTATGTGCTCGAAGTATTGGCTCAATAAACTTCTACTGCTTAACGACACACCACTTTATTCAATACGCTTTCTGTGTGTGCCTTTCATTCCGATGGACGGTAAGAACCAATCACCGATTGCTTATTGGGTACTTGGGATGTGCAAGACATGCTGTTACAGCCTGTAACCGTGGGTCGCAGCCCTGGCAGCTGTGAACATTTGGAATATGGGAATAAACATACTGTAAACCAACCAGGAAAGTCAGGCACTTAGGATGCTGGCTGACACGAGGAGAATTCCCTAGGAGGGTTCTCAATTTATGTTCTACCCTATAAAATTGGGATTTGTGTTTTAGCGAGCTGCACACTTAGAGCAAGGTCACCTAACAGATATTCATATGCTTGGAAATGGCAAAGGTGATTCTTTCACCTCCATCTTTCCTGTTGTTTTTCTTAGTATGTTTCTCCTTCACCGCTGGCAGGTTTGAGACCTTGATGTGCTGATTTAATCAGAACACTGACAAAAATCTTATCCAGTCTACTGAATAGGACACATAAAAGAAGAAATTAAGATAGCAAGCAAACTTGGAAAAACGTTCAGTCTCACAAGTAGTCAAAACCATAGAAAAATGTGAATAATAAAAATGGTAACACCGATTTGGGGAAGATGGTGGGATTATGGGTAATTATTGTCTTTTAAATTTATGGAATTTGTGATTTTGTTACTTTCTTTAATTCTTATTTTTCACTGAGGTGTAGTCGATTTACAAGATCAGTTCCAGGTGTACAGCAAAGAGATTCAGTCATACATTATACATATTTTTTTTTCAGATACTTTTCCATTACTGCTCATTGCAAGAAACTGAATATTTTGTTACTTTTAGAATTAAGGAACTAAAATTAAAAAGAAAAAATACTGCCTTTCTGAAAGATCACTTTGTGAGACTTAGTAAATAATTTGTTCACTGTCTCAATTTTTAACATATTATTCCCCATTGTTATTGAAGCCTCTTCATTCCAAAATCTGTGAAGAGGTGGTCTTATTGAAAATATTTTTATTACTCAGTTATAACTCCATCGTCAGCACCCATGTGAGCACTAGCATGCTGTTTCCTTCCTCAGGCACCTGCCATGTGTCACTGGGGCCTTCAGAGTTTGAGCCCCGGGCCTGGCTGCCAGCTGCTCCGCTGATTTTGTCGGTCAGACCTGATCCTTCCAGGTCCTTCAGTTGAGCTGGTCTTGGCTGCTTACAACTAAAGGAAGAACCCACACTCCTACGGGGGAGGTTCCAGACAGAGGGAGGAGACTAACGTCATAGCACCCCTAGTGTCTAGACACTCCGGTCTTCCTGGTCCCATTTGCATCCATCTTCCCCAGTTTTGGAATCTGCTTTGGAATATTCTCACTTTCATATTTTGGTCACATATATGTATGTATAGAGATAATATATATTTTCTGGGGAAGAAGGGAGAAGCAGGGGAGGGGGGAAGGAGGGAGGAATGGAAGGAAGGAGAAAAGAAAAGGATGAGATGGGACAGAGGCTAGTGGGAAAGGCAGAGACAAAAAGGAAATACATCCCACTGAGAAGTTTCTCCTCCATGGGAAAGTGAAGATCCTCCCCTCAACCCCCAGACCCCCCGTGGGCGCTGACTAAATGCCACCTTGTTTCACTGGTCTGTGTGTCTTGTGCCTCCCAAATTCATCATTTTCTCCTCCATAGTACTTCGGTCCTGTGCCTTCACTTAGTAGATGCCAAAAAGATACTGGTTGATTGGTATAATTTGAATAAAACTTCTCCAAAATTCAGAGGTAAAGGGAGAAGCAACGAATCCAGTAATATCCAGCTTAATTACATATTGATGGTGACCTACTAACAAGGTCCCTTATGAATAGTAACTTAGTATTAAAATTTAATTATTCTTTAGGATTGACCATATTACCAAAGGAGAATATTATGTGCAGCTTTAATTGTACCGCTAACTTAGAAGATCATCCTAAGTGTGACAGAGATGGTACTAATGTACTCCAGAAAAGTCATTCAGTTACTTCCCCTGCAGACTTCACAGAGTTACATTTTATCTCAGGGTAGGAGAATCATGGAATGGCAGTACTTGTTCTAAGGTTTAAGGACGCAAAATACATTGGTGTGGCGTTGGATGTACTTTTTACTTAGTTATTTCAGCAAAATAATATCTCCTAATTTGAAATCCTGAAATTCTTTACTCACTACAGAAAATTATAAAAATATCAGAAAGTGGAAAGATTTTAAAAAAATCATCAATTTCCCACCATAATTCACGCCAATCCTTTTTGTTTTTCAAGCAGAATATTTTTGTTTTGATCATTACATTACAGATTTTTGTAGCTTGCTTTTTTTTTTTTGCCCAAATGTCCTAACAGGAAGCAGTATAATGTGGTAACTATGAGTCAGAGAGAACAGAGTTAAAATGTTGGCTGTACCACCCGCTGACTTGAGTAATTCATATAACGTTAGACCCTAAATTTCAAGTTCCTTTTCTGAAAAATGGTAATAATTATATTTACCTCATAGATAGGCTTATTATAAACCCTCATTCCAGTAGTTGTCATGTCATGATTTAAATTTTATAAATATTTTTAATGGTTTCATAAGATTTATTGAGCATTGTTAGCCAAAATCTTTTAATCATTCTCTGGTTTTTAGACATTAAGATTGTTTTTAACATTTTACTATTTTAAATAATTTTGCAAATATAGATCTTGGGGTGGGGGCTTTTAATCAAATTTAGATTTATTCCTTCAGAAGTGGAATTATTGTATCAAGAAGAAATTTTACTATTCTTGATGTGTATAATTGAATGCAATTATATAACAATTGAATACAATGTGCCTTTTCAAAAAGATAAAAACAGTTTATGTTCCTGGCAATAACATATGAGAATTCTCATCACATTCTGTTAGGATTTTTTTTTTAATTAGCAAATTTGATAGGCAAAAATTGTTATTTTGTCTTAGTTTTCATGTCTTAGACTATTGATGAGGTTGAATATATTTTCCGGGTATTTTTAAACTAGTTTTGTTGGGTTTTTTTCCTTTTATGAATCATGTTTTCCTATCAACAGGCATTCCTAATCAGGCATCTGCTTACCAGCTTTTAAAATGTTCCTTAAAATGCTGTACAGCTTTTGCCAGCATGTAGCTAATGAAGTTAGAACTTTCAACATTTTCTTCAAGAGGGATGGTGAGTGTGAAATTAGGGGAAGGCAGAATGCTTAAATCTATCACCGTTTCATCTTGTTTGGAAGAATTTCCTTCGTGAACACCTGGAACTTCCTAAGGAGAAGGATTATACAATAAAAGGTTACTAACTTCCAGTGCACATTCAGGGTTAATTTAATACCCCATTAGTCAGGATGGGCTAGGTTGTGCTGAAGTGACAAATTAGCTCCAATGTTCCAGTAGCTTCGTGCAACAAAATTTCTTTCTTGCTCATGTTACACGTCCACTACCAGGGTTCTGTACCACCTAGACACTCAGGACCCTGGCTGAGGGGGGAACATCACCTTACGGCTGTAGTGGCTTTCTTCTCATCTTCAGCAGAGAAAGCGAATGGATAACCATACACAGACTCTTCACTATCTCAGCCTAGAAATAACTCTTTTTGTTTTTGTTCACATTTCATTGGCCAGAACTTACCATATGGTACCACTTAACTGCAAGAGGAACTGGAAAATGTGAGCGATTGGATGGAATATCTGGTGAGTGCCACAGTGTGTGCCACAGATATTAATGTGATGCACCAAGTTTTGTACTGAGTTTCCCTAGAAAATTTACAGTTTATGGTTGTATGTGTGATTTTTGTAAGAACCAGTCACCTCAAATGTGTGTGGTTTACTCTCTTAATGAGTTCTCAAGTGCACATGCTTTGATTTTAATAATTTAAATGAAACTGTAATGACATGCAACTTGATGTAACCTTAAGAGAGCTATTTTGAAAATGTTTTCAAAAAAAAGTCCCTGATATTAATTAGCCAAAAATGCTAAAGCAAAACATTAAAAAGCCAAATAAAAACTGGTTATTTCTTAATTCTAGTTTATAAAACTAACATTACTTTCTTTTTCCTTTTGGTAAGTATAACACCTAAAAACCACATAAAGCATTTATGTCGAGTTCAGTAAATAATTATAAAGCTAACACCCATGTAACTACAACCCAAGGGGCATAACTTTTTTCACCTGTTGGAATTTGTATATTTTTTACACAAGGTTCCTCTCCAGTACTTGCTGTTTTATGGATTTGCACTTTCCATTACATGTGAAATAAGAGCTGTTTTGAGAAAAAGAACTTTTACAGGCAGTTCAGCAAAGTGGTTAAGTCCATAGATTCTGGAGAAAAGCTGCTTGGGTTTGAATCCCATTTCTACTACTTACCTGCTGTGTGACCTCAGACAAGTTGTTTAACTTCTCTGTGCCTCATCTGAAAAATTTGGAAAACAATAATACTCACCTTATAGGGTCATTTGAAGGTCTTAAATGACCTAATATATGAGGAGTGTTCTTAAAACACCGACTGATAAATAGTAAGTCCACTTTAGTGATGATGATTATTAGAAAAAATGTATCATTGAAAACCATAATTTTAGTTTATATGGAAGTTTTTGATACACAAGTGTCTTTGTTATCAATATAAAAATTTTAGATAAATTAGTTAATGTTACTAGAATGGAAGCACATTGAAGCACACAATGGAAATCCTGACAAGAACAGTTAAATATTTGGCTCTACTTTTCTAAAGACTGAAAGCACTGCTAAATTTTTTCTTAAAGTTTTATTCTTTTCCTCATTCCTCACAAGAATTTTTCCTCTTTAAACTAAATGTATTTGTGAGGGTGATCAGATATATCGAATTATTTTTCTTGCCTAGGGTATAATCTATCTAAGGAGGTAACTGAATCAGAGAGTCAGCTGGGATTGGAGCATTTTGACTGTGGTCTGTAGTTACAAACACATTTTACATCTGGGCTCAAAAACACACATCTTAACATACGTGCATATACACTGTACACACATGTTTATACACACACATAAACACACATCATGGAGATGAAAGTTCCATGACAAATGCATACGACTTAGTAAATGCAATGCACTCTGATACTTTCTCTTCTAGTCTGTCCTATTCTGGTTTCGGTTTGTGTTTTTAAAGTGCTGCGTGTGACTCTCTAGACTTACTTCTCAGAAGGCCCACACATGGGCCACAGCTTTGCAGCTGGAAAGAGAGAGAATCATTGGGCAACAGAGTTCTGTAGGCCAGATTCCCCAGAAGCAGAGCCTGAGACTCCGACCCAGTGAGGTATTGATTAAGGATGCTTTCAGGGGAAACTTTTAAGGGGATGAGGCAAGTAAGACAGAGAAGGGGAAGGAGCTAATCTGGGATGTGGCTTGGGGTGACCGCTAGCCTCAGCCTGATCCTGCAGGGAGCTCTGGAGAGAAAGTGGCACCAAGGGCGACCCTTTGGAGACGGTTGCAGGGGTGAGCAGTTAGCGGCAGCACCAGCTGGAGTTGGTACAGGGATCCCGGGATCAGGGTAGGGCGCTAACATTACATGCTGCACAAAATGTTGCACCTTCGGTTGGTCTGCACAGTGATTTTCATACCCGGGCTTTTTCAGGCCTTCTGTTACTGACCTCATCAGGAACCATTAGCTGGTGCATTGTGTACTAATGTGATACGTGTGTGTGGTGGGGAGGGGGATCAGGAAATTCAGTCACTTTTAAATTATGCAGCTGGGGTTATTGACTGAATGGGGGAGATGCCATGTAAGTGCGACTTAAGATGGCAATATGTTTTTACGTGAATATCAGCATATAAATGTGTTTAATTTTCAAGGTAAGTCAGAAGCTTACTGTGTCAAAAACTAATGAGCCCTATAATTTACGGAGCTCTTGCTTTGGATAAGGAACCTTTACTCATCATTTTACAGACATCCATTTTAAGGTAGCTTTCATCATTCCCATTTTCCAGGTGGAAAAACTGACGCCTAGAAAGAATATGGAACTTTCCCAAACTTACTCAGCTGGCAAGTTTCAGAGTCAGCTTTTGAACTCAGGCTGCTTTACCTGAAAGTCTTCTCTCTTAAAAACTACATTGACCAGATTTCTTCAAGATCACCTGTATCAGCTACGGCACTATAGCTCTAAGCAGAATTAGCCATCTCTGGATTAGAAAGTATTTTGTATTTTAAATTATTTTTTTATAGAGTTTCTTGTTTTCTAAAGATCGTGCATTATTTGATATCAAGTCAGCCCAAATACCATCACAAGGAAGTGTGAATGTCCTCCTACAGCTTGTCTTCAAATTCAGATGTAATTAATAAAGAGGTTAACAGAAGAATCAGTGTCTGCATACATTGTCTCCATATCTGTTCTCGGGTCTCTCCGTTACCTTTGTGGAGTTGAAGATGTTCCCGGGTGCTGGGGCCAGGTTCGCCAGCTCCGTCACCCAGCCAAACTGCTGTCTCATCTTCTCCATCAAATATGCCGTGTCCTCCAAGTGATGCTGGGTCATCTGGAGAACCTGGTTGTACTGCTGATTGGAGATGTTGACCAGCTCGAGGGCCTCACCTACTTTCGTGTGTAGTTCAGGTACATCAGGACAGTCTAGCAGAGAGAGAGTTTTATTTTTTCCTTTCTCATGCGACTGTGTTTTGCACAAAGTTTCACCTTTGTTTTAGGGAAGTCTTTTTCCTTCAGTGGCGCTCTCTAACAGAGTAACTGAGTGTCCCTTGTAGAATTCTCCTTAGCAGAGATCATGAGAGAAATCATAAATCCTCACCTTCTTCCCCTATCATTGAAAAAAATTTATATCACTATTCTAAAAGTTAACAGCTCTCAACTTGGAAATGAAGACATTTTAAAAGAATATCTGGATCTCCTTTCAAATCTGTACTGTATCTTGTTAACTGTGACTCCCTTTGTTTTCAAAATATTTCCTTGAATTATTTTTCAAATGTCTACTATTGTAAATGTGTTTTACTCGGAAATACACAATTCTCCCTCTCCTAAAGATCCCGAAACAATTTCTGGAATAATGTGAAGGCTGGGGAATCTTTACATTATATTTATGCCTCAAAAAAACCCAATAAGCTGATTTTTAAGACCCAAGATGAGGTAGTCTTCCCACCCCCACCTTCCTGAAGGCACGTTTTTTTAGTAAACAGCAGAAGTTGTAGTTTAGAGAGGCCTTGCTCTTTTCCCACAACAGTCTCTCCTGCCCCAGATGCCCTAACAGAGAGACACTTCTGTAGCCTGCAGATGAACTTTACACAATACTCAGCCTCTCAGCAGCACAGCTGTATAAGTTCCTGTAACTGTTTCAGTCCAGATGGCTGCAGTGCAACAGTAACACAGATTTGCAGAATCTCAGTGACTTGGAAGCACCAAGGTTTCTCTCTCACTCCAGCACCTGTCAGTCACAGCTTGGGTGAAGGTTCTGCTACACACCTCCTCACTCAGGGTGATGGAGCCTCCACCATGCGGAGCGGAACTAGTCCCAGGGTCGGGGAGGGAGCAAGACAAGTCCTCAGCCCTTCTTAAAGGCTTCCTCCAGTAGTGAGTGAGCCGGCCACGCCCAACTTCCAGGGGGCAGGGAAGTGCCATCTCCCATGCGTCCCGATCAGAGTATTAGTGAGCAGCCCTGAGACAGACCCACGGCCAGATTCTTTCAGGCTGGAAAGACAGACTCCACCTCTCGATGGGAGGAACCACAAAATATTGTGGCCATTTTGTTTTTAGTCTAGTGTCCATGTGTCCCCTTCTGCTGGTGCAAGTTCCCAATTTATGTCTGTTATTGTCAAGTAATCATTAATACTGCCTGCATCACTTTTAAAAGAGATCCAATTTAAGTGATAATTACATGGCCTTGTGTAACAGAGACTGGGCTGGAAACAGAAATTCCTCAGTATAAATCTTATGTGCCTACTCCCTGTATTAAGAAATAAAATATTTTCCAAACAGATAAAGCCCCCACTCCATCCCTTCCACATCTAACCTCTTTATTTTGAAACTATTATTTTGAATTTAGGTGTATGTCTCCAGTGCCAGTAAGTGGCATGGGAAAAGAGCCACTTACAGTGAATCCATTCAAGATTTGGGCCAAAAATGTATGGTAAATAGTGAAAAAAAATGATCTATGATATTTTGGAAAGTATTTCATTTATCTTGCATTTATCAAATATAAGATTATAATTATAGGTATGTGCTTAGTCTTAGAACAAAGAATGAATCAAATGTGGATTGAAGAGGCAAAATCATTATTTGACAAAATGTATCGAGAGTTGTTTGTTACAGCAAAACATTGGAAGCAACTTAAATGCACTTCAGCAGGAGAATGGCGATAGATTGTGATGTTCTGACATAGACTAACATACATCAGTGAATCAATGAATTAGAACCACAAGTATTCACATGACTAAATCTCCCCAGCTATACTGAGTGAAAAACCAAGTTGCAGAAGAACACAGAAGCCATAACGTCTACACTGTTAAGAAAAAATTATCCCAAACTTGGAAACAAGCAGAACAGCTGTGTGTCCTCTCACTGTCATACAAAGTGCTGTCCTTGTGATGAGAACTCTGAGGGTCTCCTCTCTGAACAGCTCTCCTACGCATCATGCAGCGATGTCAGCTACAGTCATCGTGCTGTACGTTACATCCCAGCGCTTACTCATCTCGTAAAGGAAGTTTCTACATTTTGACCACCAGTCACCTCCCCCGCATCTCCTCCATTGTCTTATGACAATCAGGGGGGATTACTCATCAAAGCTTTTAACCAAATGAAAAGAAGTTAATGACACACAGGTGGGATGTCTGAGTGGGACTCTTTTTGTAAGAGGTCAGTACATTAGTGTACAGCTTTCTGCTGTAAAAACTTCAGTGTCTGTGTGCAGCCTTGTGACCGTGACAAACAACACTTGAATGATGAGAATCACAACTACTTCAGACGATTTACTTCATCCTCAAAACACCTGTGTGAAGTAGATGTATTGATTTCATCTTCCAAATGATAAAAAAGGGGTGCAGAGAGTCACCCAGTGAGCAATTCAGAAGACATAAGTGGGTGGAGGAGAGACTTCAGTTAGGGGAAGGGAAGGGATGGGAGGCACACAGGAAAGCGGGAGGGTTCCTGGAGAGAACTTTCCGTCTGGGGAAGGAATGAAAGGCTGCCCCCGGTCAGATCTGGGAGGGGCAGGGTTCATCAGGCTGCTGAGGAGAAGGCACTATTCATATTTAAGTACTGATTAGTAATTAATAGTAATTAACCCACCAACTGGAAAGAGTTCAGGCCACTTAAAAAGAAAAACTCACTTGGCTAAAATTTGCTTCCACAATGTGATTTCTTCCTTGGTGGTTTTCTTTTTCTTTGCAGTAAGAAGGAAGAGTTTGCCCTAATTCGCTCATGGTTCTCTTTTGCACACATTAGAGTTCATTTGGTCTTTAACCATAAAGAATTTTCACAGGAACAATGAGGGAATTTTAAAAAAGGGGAAAAGTGAGTTGACCTACTTTTTGAATAAGAAATGTTTATAAACCTGCCCTGAGCACCCCTAGATGGCAATGAGCACGCAAAGTGATGCTTGAGGGGCAGCGGATGAATCCATGATGCTTGTAAAAGTGAGATATTGACCTCTGAACAGAAAGCAATCGAAACCCCAAGAAAACAACAAGTATTTACCTTCCCAGAGGTAATCCTGACATTTTTGGCATCTTGTGTGAAATTGGAGACATTCTGATGAATTCTGCTTAGGTTCTCCACACAGTCCCCTGCCCTGCACAGGCAACATTTTCGAACTCTGGCGGCCGCGGTCAGAGTCTGCAGGTAACACAGCATTTTCACATTAGTGTTGTTAGAGAGTCTGAACTTTAAAGGTGTAGATACAATGTCATTCCATTTTCCAACCAGCACCTTCAAAATCTTTGTTCTGTATTTAATCGTAGGCGTGCACACTGGTGCAAGCGGTTGCCAGGACAATTTGACATCTATTAACAAGTACACTGTTACTATTATTACTCATCGTTAATATTATTATTACTCGCTCCATACCCACACACACAGAGATTAATGCAAACAATTTTATTTTCTGGAAGGAGTCATGAGAATTATTAATAGTAACTATCTGTTGGAAGAGAGAATAATGGGGGGGAGAGGGAGACTTTCATTTATTTTGTTCCTTTGTATATTTGAATTATTTTAAATTAAGTGTGCCTTATTTTTATTATTTCTGATGTCACTGGGGTTAACTAAATAGGGGATTATGAACCACTTTTCTCTATGGACTTCTAAAAATTTTTCTAGTCATTATTTTAATTCCTTAAAGCTGTAATTCAGATGTGCATTGGCATTCCAAAGATACTGGAAATGTCTTGTGTCTTAAGCTGCGTGGTAAGCATTTACTTTCTTGCTATTCTTTTTTGTGTTTCGTATACATTATGTTATGAACAGTAGGTCAAAGATTTAGGGAAACATCAAATTTGAGAAATCTTTTTTTTTTCTGGAAGAATTAACCATCCATATAAAAATGATGATGTAAACAGAAGTCCATTCAACAGAAAATCTACAGTTCCCAATGGAGTGTTTCACATTAGGAAAAATGTATTATTAATTTGTAACCCAATGATATATTAAATCCTTAATGTTTAAAGAATGAATCATTTCGAGATAAATTGTGAAGTGTAGTGTTTAAAAACCTACGAGTCATTTGCTGATCATCCGGTGTGTAAGGCAGCCATCCCCTTTGTTGAATAGCAATTGTTTTCTCTCACTCCTGTTAGATTTAGTGGCATCTCCTCTTGCCCTACAGAACCCCTGTGAGTTCTACTGTAGAACATCTCTGCATTGTGTGCTGTTAATTTCATCTCCTCTGTTATGGTAGTGTAATCGTCCACTGACCTGTTTTCCCTTCTCTGGGCTGAACTCCTAAAAGTCAGGGGCTGTGTCCTAATCCTCATCTTATTCCCAGCATCTCGAATATTTTTAAGATTTTTATTTTTTAGGTCTATTTAAAAGTCAGGCAAAAATTACTCAGTCTCATCCCAGCATTGAGTCTCCTTAGTCTACAGCCCTGAAGCTTTCCCTCATATCAGGGAATTTGGAGCCTCAGAATGGAATGCTAGAAAAACACCTGACTTACAAGAAAAGTCCTCCAGACCCGGGAATAGAACCTAACGGTTCCAGTAACGATGGCCGTTCTCGCTGGGGGGACAATGGGGTGGGAAGGATGTACCACGGTTTCCTGGCTTCAGTCTCTGGTCCGTTCTGGGCGAGCCCCTCCCACGTGGAGGCTATTATGCAAGGCCCCGGCAATTTTGAGAGTTTGATTCAGCGGTTGCTCCTACAGCTGATATGACTGAAAACTAGCTAGAAGGAGCCCATTTTCCCTCTATATACAAAAAGCTGTAGGTAATTAAATCTTCAACTTGGTGAGCTTGAACATAAGCAGCCATGCATGAAACCAATCACCAGCCTATGCTGTGAAACTACCCAGCACCTCCAAAAGTTTCCTCCTGCGTCCTTTTTAAAAATGACTGTCGTCGTTAGTGATGAAAACCCTTTATATAAGATTAAGTACACAGCACAGTCCTGTTCACTGCGGGTGCCACTCTGTACCATTGATCTGCAGGACTCACTTGTCCTGCATGACTGAAACTTTGTACCTTTGACCAGCATTTCCCCCTGTCCCCGTCCCTTCAGCCCCTGGCAGTGACCATTCCACTCTCTGCTTCTAGGAGTTTCGCTCATTTAGATTCCTCATTGAAGTGGGATGATGTAATTCTCGTCCCTCTGAGTCTGGCTAATTTCACTGAGCACAGTGTTCTCCGGCTTCATCCATGTTGTCCCCGATGGCAGGGTTTCTAGAAGGAGCCCGTTGCATCTTTCATGTCAGAGAGGAGCATCCTCTTCCTTGGCCTAGTGGCCCATGAGCGATGAGTCCAAGGAAACACAGATTGTATACGTGGCCCACACAGCAACTCTCGTTTCCGAGGTGCTGGGTCCCAGCCACTCCACAGACGCCCAGAGAAGGTACCTCCTTCTGCCTTGAAACATCAAGCAGCACTGTAGTTCCAACATGGAAATATTAGGGGGCCTGGGCGGTTATTGGTAGAAGGTAATTCTTATCTTTTACAGAAATTTCCATTTCTGTAGTTTGTGGTGTGTCTACGAGCATTTTCTCTGGTGGTGTGCATGGACATTCTGACCGCAGGAGTTACAGCAGTGAGGTGGAGGAGGCCGAGGAGGGCGCTACGTGTGACCTGGTTAGACACGGCCCTAGGCTTCTTCCCAGACTGGGAATTGATGAGCCTGGACTGATTTTAAAGAAACTCCATGATGCTCAAGCAGAACAGAGCTGAGTGTCTGCCTGAGTTTGAATAAAGGAGGCAACCGTCTTTTTCAGGTTCTCACCTTACTAGCATTTTGTTTCTCAGCTTTGAAAGTTTGCTTTAAAAAGAGAGAACAGCCCCACGGAGCTCTTGACAATGATGGAAGGGGGCTGGTGTTTGGCAGACCTCAAAGCTTCCCCTAAGAGGCTCTGACACCTTGATGATCCATAAACTGTCATCCTCAGAAACACCGTACGATGACTTAGAAACGGCCACCCTTTCTAAAGCTAAACAGAACTTGACTTCAGTATAAATATCTAAGCAAAAAATCATCTTTTGATACTTGCCTTTGTTTTGTTTTGATAAATCCTCTATTGCATTCAGCATCTCAGTAACTGTTGCACTGATGCTCCGATAAACAGACAGACTGAAATTACAAAACCGCTGGAAAAAGCTAGGAATGTCCCAATGTGGCCCAACATGTGCTTTTCTCGTTGGCTCTTTGGCTAAGGCTGGAAAAAAGTAAGGCTCAATTAAGTCTGTATCTGACATGAAATAGGATTGAAAAGCCTGGTCGAATTCTTGCTGCATCTGTTTGAAGACATGAAAACTCCTGTTATAGAGAAATCTCACGTCCACAGTCAGCTGGCTGAACACATTCTCTATCTGGATCAGTTGTGCATCTTCCTCAATGAACTGCTCACTGACCGGGAGATCTTTTTCATTATCTTCATTGAAAGGAAACAGAAACTGATATATCTTCCGGAGAAACTGTTCAATCTGTGGGGTGGGGTAGGGGACAAAAAATGAAATACATTTATTTTCTTTCTGGATTATTATTATTATTTTGTAAAATTTAAAGTCAACTTACAGTAGTCATTCCATATCAAGAAAAATTCTGGACAAGCTAGGAAAAGATGATCTACTTTAAGATCATTTATCAACACTCATATATCTGACTTTGACCTTGACTATGGAAATAGGGTCTGAAATTCCTCTTGGTTTCTATTTGCCTACTAAAGGCCTAAAAAGGCCAAGTTTTCGATATTGTTGTCAAGCCACAGCCCTGATGTACTGGTGGTGGTTGGCATACATGGTTTTAGACTGTGTAGATTGTCTGAAAACTGAAGGCTCTTGTCTTTCACCTCTGCCTTAGTGTCTTAATTCTCTCTTTTTTTCTTCTTCAGTGGAATGTCATTTGTGTCCTTATGCTCTCTTCTTTCTCAGCTCATAAATTAGTCCATGGAAAAGAAAAGATCAATACATTTCCACTGAACCATAGATGCTTAATACAGCTAAATAGGTTACTTAGAGATGTTACATATTACCGGTGAGCAAAGCCCTCCTTGGTTGTAGCCAAAGGAATGAAGCTCTAATTATAGAATTCTCTACTCAGTGGGAGGCCTTCCAGCAGTCACCCTATGCTCTACTTCATCTATGTGACATGTAAGTTCATGCCAGACATAGTAGCCCTTATATGATAGTGATAGGGCCATGATGAGTGTTATGGAACATACCAACCATCACTGCCATAGCCCCCTACAATGCTGTTCAAGTCATTCTCCAGGAATTCCTAGAGGACTTGCGCATTTCTCAAAAAAATAATCTGGGTGGATCATCTGCCTCTCCCTCTGCCAGCTTCTGTTTACTTAAATTCAGCCACAGAATCAAAACTTTAAAGGCTCAAGAGATTGTCATAAGGTCATATAACTGGCACAGATCGGGATGGTGCCCAAACCTCCTGACTTCCAGCCAGTGCTCATTGCAACATATTCTGGTGTATTAGAGAGTAGCTATAAAAATAGAGCAGGTGCAATTAACAGTGGAGGCAAATTAACTTGGCATATGAATTATCTTAGGGGGTGCTCCCTCTGTAATTGCATAGGGCACTGCTGAGCCAGGCACAGACTCTAATTAGTGCCTGCTCTGAGATGGAGAGGGAAATTTCACTGCGTTTCATATTCAGCCAACTTCTTGAAGGGGAGGGGAAATTCAGGCCAATAGAAGAGGAGCCTTTTATGGGTCAGAGCTAGGTATCCTATTCAGGTCACCACCCTCTGTGATTCCCTCTGCCCAGAAGGGAGCCAAAGGGGACAAAAAAGGAAACATGCCAGTCCTACAGGACATGCATGGATCAGGGTAAAGGGGACATGTGTGTGCACACGCATTTGGGTGCTGCCAAGAGAGGGCTAGCCCATTGAAGGAGAGACTCAGGGGCAGAGAATGCCTTTGAAGGTTAAAAATAAAGCAGGTTGAAATCAAAAGACTGTAATACTATTATTCAGAATGCAATTTAGCAAACATTTATTGAACACCTACAGTGCTTAAATGAAGGCAAATAAGATATGGTTCCTGCCCTCAAAGAGCTTACAGTCTAGTGGGAAGATGTTCAGAAATGAACAAGTAGGAGGCAGAAGGAGTCAGGGCACTCCTGAGAGATACACACAGTGTAATGAAAGGGAGGGACAAACACTGGATGGCTGTTCCAACTTAGAAATTATATATCCACAGGTGATTCACACAAAAGCATGAATGCAAGATTCTAGGTTGCAAAAGGCCAACATCAGATCAGCCATCTCTAATCTCAATATTAATATAAATTGATTTTTAAAAGTAAGCTGAAGCAGGTACCTTAAGAATTCAGAAAGCTTGAGCTCTATTTCTCCCTTACCGTGTTTTTCATAGAGGACCAACTGTTTTGGCAGGTTGTATAAAATCTCATGCAGTTACTTTCCAGGCAAGATTTGCATTCATCCCAGGAATCTGTCAAAGACACCTGGCATAGCCTTTCTTCCTCTTCCAGATGCTCTTGAACTTCATTCATAAGTTTCAGGGCTTCCTAATTAAAAAGTAGAAAAACACACCCTGTTTCCATTTCATGACTCCATGTGTTGTACCTTAGTTGATTTCACGCTTTACAGAATGTGTATTTTCTAAACTCAACCTCATTCCTTCTTCAGGTCCTTGACAGCTGGCAGATCGGCCCTGAAGCTTTCTGTTAGGTTAAGAAAAGCACACCAACTGGTCCCTCCTGAAGACTGTGCAGTTCTCCTTCACCTGTTCATTCATTCATTCAACAACTATTTATTGAGTGTTTGCCGTGGGACAGACATCCGCTCCCTGTGGGTGAACCAGCAGTGAAGACGCAGCCCCTGCTCCCCTGAATGCCTGTAATTGACCTATTTACTTGTCTGTCCTCACCTCTCGTCCTTGGAGGATGTAGAAAATGGGTTTTAAGGCTTGAAAAGCTGAACACATTTATTTCCTTCATTCACGCTGCCTTTAATTTGTGTACGTTCTTAAGCATTGCAAGGAAGCACAGTTCCCGTATGGCAAATCAAAGCTTCACTGTGAGTTGCATCCTGATGGCAGAGATGCTGTATTCTGAGTCTTCCTTCTCCTCCGTATTCTGAGCACTCCCCCTTGTGGTGCCTGGTGTACTCGACCAGGTCCCGCTCTCGGAGCTCAGCAGAAGTGACACTTGTCCCCGAGAATGTCAACCCTGCCCCGGATCTCCCCCGGGGTCGACAATCCCTAAACCCTCGGTCTGTGTGCACTTCTGCAGACCAGCTCCCTCCAGGCCTGAGATGTAGTTCAGGGCAGCTGGGGGCTGTAACAGACCGTCCATAAGATGACAGCCTTGGAGCTGACGGCAACTCCCTCACGTGAAAGAAACATGAGGGAGCACAGTTTCTAAAACCAATTGAGTGTGTACTTTACCTACTGGAAAAGAAAAAGAAATCACCCTTTCCTGGCATATTAAGCCCAAAGAAACACCTGGGCACCGACAATCTCACACATCTCCTCTGCTGGGTGCAGATTTTCAGCTGCCCTGTGGCAGGATCCTGGGGCTACACTAGGTGGCCTTTGCTACGTTCCACATAAGAAAACCAGCAGGGCCCCAGCCTGCCAAATGCACCTTGTGATCCAGGCAGGTCTTGCTTGTCTCTTGGGCTCTGAAGAATAATTGTGGAACCCTACACCTCCTCAAGGAAGGCAGGGCAGGCAAAAATGCTGCCCAGATTCTCAGTCAGTCTGTTTGAAATATTCTGCTCATTGTCACCGTAAACCCAAATCGCAATATTTCCAATTACAAACTACACTCACTGTTCACCCTTGGGCAAATTACTTAACATCTCTGAGCCCCTTCTTAGCAAATAGGAGTAACTGTAGGATCTGCCTCTTAAGGTTTTGTGTTGAATTGAGCAGGCAAGGCACCTCTCCCGCTATCCTCTGATTTCCTTCCACTCACCTCTGAAGCATGACAAAAACCAGTGACCCAATCACACGGCCCAAGTTTTGGTAGTGAACCGTTGCCATGGAGGAAGGAGGCCTCTGGTTTAGGAATGCCCTGTCCCTTCCTTCTGCTTCCCCCCAAAGGTCCTACCCACTGACAGAGTCCATGCTTAGAACTCTCTTCCTGCAGTTCGTGGTTTATCAAAGTTCCACATCAACCTGGACGTGGTGGGGGTGGGCAATCACTTTAAGCTGCTTTAGGGTTTCCCACTTTTGTAAGAGCGAGTTTCAGATGCTCTCAGTTAGTAGAAATAGGGAAAAGCTGAGGAGGGAGACCGAGCTGATGCTGGGTCACCTGAGGATGGGCGGTGTTTTGTACTGGGAGACAGGCGTGCCCACCCCATATTTGCCAATTCGTAATTTGTCTAAAGTGTCCTTTATTTTAGGTCTGAAATAATTTTAGAAAGGGAGGCTCAGGTTTAAACAGGTTTTTCCTTTTTGAAATTATTTTTTAAATTTTTAAATTTTTAAAATTTAATTTATTTTTGTGTGGAGGAGGTAGTTAAGTTCACTTATTTATTTTTAGAGGAGGTGCTGGGGATTGAACTCAGGACCTTGTATATCCTAAGCATGTGCTCTACCATTTGACCTATACCCTCCCCCCCTCAAATTAATTTTTAAGTGAGTGCCCAAACTTTAAAAATATAATTCAATGTTTTTTTAATATAAAATAAGCAGGTCTTAAGAAAAAAATAAAAATTCTCTAGTTTCTAGGATTCTCCAGGGTCAGAAATGAAAGTAACGCTTGCTTCCTTGACCCACCCCACACCGAGCTTCCTTTTCCTCGTATGTACTGACTGCATCCTTGGCTTGCCAGGAGGCTCGGGGAAGGGAGAAAAACAGAAAGTCCCTGGGTCCCACAGGCACAGCGCCAGCCAACTCTCTCCTGGGTCATTCTTTACAGGGTTGGGTTCACACATTAACTAACATCTCGAAACTCAGTTTCCTTAGCTGTAAAAGGGAAGTAATGGTTTGCTCAGATGTTGGAAGGATCTTGTGTGATAATATGTTTTATAAAGGGTCTGTAAGAGGTATCTAGGGCCCTTATTCCCAGTGGCCAGACTCACGCACCCACCGGGGAAGAACCCAGCTAGAGGCGCTTCCACGTTTCCCTCAGAAGGAGCTGGTTTTGATGTCCTCACAGTCTGTTGACTGCTGCCAAGAAGGAGAAGGGCTTGCAGCTGCTGGTCAAGCAGTCTCCTCTCCCTGCCAGGGACCCTGCGTGATGCAGGGAGAGAGCCGGCCGCAAGGTCAGCCAATCTGGGGACAGGCTGACTACAGCTTCGGGGTCACAGCCTGTGACCCCAATTGCCTGATGGACACCCAGTGCCCCTGTGCTCAGAAGGGAATTCCAGCAGCTGTCAGGAACTTGGTGACCCCAACCTTAGAGAGCTACACGTCTAGTCTAGGTCTAGAGAGGAGTTATTGGAACTTCTATTTGTGCCTTTTAAATTTAAAAATAGACTATGGGGAGGAGAAATGGGGAGTTGTTTAATGGGTATAGTGTTTCAGTTTTGCAAAATGGGAGGAATTCTGGAGACTGGTTGCCCAATAATGTGAATGTACTTAACATTATTGAACTGTACACATAGATGTGGTTAAGGTGGCAAATGCTATGTTATGTTATGTATGTTTTACTACAATTAAAAATATTTCAACGAAAATAAAATTTGAAAGAAATTTACTCTCAATGTTAAAATTTAAGGTATTTTCTAAATGACTTTTGCTATAGTTTTGCTATCCTCTTTGATTTAAGGGCATGTTGGATAATAAACTGTTAAAAATTTTCATTGTTTTCAGTGCAATAATAGTAGTGATTAATGCTGTTAAACTCTGAGCCATGCCACGTCT